CAAAGCGGATAAAACCATCGAAGCGTCCATAAAATCTAAGATAAAACGAGAAAGAAGTCAAACGAGTTAGGGGTTACCCCCCCTTTGCGGGGTCTCCGTCGATCACCGCAACAAACGATGGCTCCTACGAACTATCATGAACAGGGTCGACAAGCATCCCCAACAGACTACTAACCGGCTTCTCTGTCTCTCACAATCCTATCGACAACAGTTGTGATGACACCTCTGACCATCGTCTCAGCGACAGTAGGCGGAGTAGGCTCAACAACTCACGACGAAGGCCCGAGAACACCCTCTAACAGCTGGTCAAAAGACCCCTCGGAAGTCCCCTCGTCAGACGAACTAGCGCGCGCTTGGCGCTCAACCTGCGGACCTAACTCTGGAAAGTTAGGATTTTCCGCATTCGAGCAAGTCAAGAATCCCAATTCTCGCTGTGGAAAGCTCCATCGGCTCGTTGATATTGATCTCGTCAAGAATGTTCTTCTTTAGAGACGGAACCACAAGCTTTGTCTTCAGAGCGGCAAGAGCACTATCAAAACGCTTGTACCCTCTACCATACTCTACCTCGCGAGCTCTGAGCTTCTTTATTTCATCGTCCACAGTCGGGGGTTCCTCGTCCTGAAAAAGTCCAACAAGCTCAATGTTCCCATCTACTTTGGCGAGATAGGTCACATCAGTAACCGCAGTGCCAGTAAGTAGCTTAAGGTTGCCTTTGGTTCGTGCCATCTGATCCTGAAAGTCTCTGATCAGCTCATGCTTAGCATCGATCACAGCATTGGAGACTTGAGAATTATGAAGCTTTATGGCAGCGTCAATCATCCTCTACTGTTCTGATATCCTCGCATAGCGCTTCATGATGACGTGATCAAGAAGTATGATTCGCTCATGTGCGTCTTTGCAACTCCTCTTGAGAAGCTAAACTTTGGACTTAAGCTCGAGGATCGGCTCGATCGCTTTCTTGCGCTCTGCGAGCAGTCTGAGACATGTCTCCTTGAGCGTCCGCCTCATATTCTAGCATCATGATGTTCAAGTCAAGAGAAGAACTATGGAGACAAATAAAAACAACACATAAACTAAATCAATTAGTCGTTCGAAAAGCATGGCAGCAAGATGAATTAAAAGTTACCTTCGCTCCGCGAAGGGACATATCCGCGTAAGACTTACTCCAACTCAAGGTGCTTGGCAAGAGAAGATGCTCAGCGGACATGGTGATCACGGAGAAAAAGGTGGTCACGGCCATGGCGTCATCATCGAACACCCCTACAGTCAACGACACCGAAACAATCTCGGAAGGAGAAGGGTGACAAGGGGCTATGCGCTGCCTCTTCGGGATGAGCCCATCGTCTGTGCCCTTTCCCGTGTCTAGGGCAAGACGATTGCTACCAGAGGCATCTCCAAGAGTCGTTTTCTCTTTTTCGCAGCCTGAGACTACTCTATGTCACGGCTCGCGGCCTTCTCCTTACCACAGCTCGGCCTTCTTCTTGTCACGGCCCGCGGATTTCTCTTGGCGAACGGCAGGAGCATAAACCACCGGGGCCTTCGCGGTAGGAAAACCCGAACTAAGTAACCTTGGGGTAGCACGGGTAATCGCGGTAGGGCTAGCACGTGACTCCAATGTACCTCTCGAGGTGCTATGGATCAGGACATGCACTCTAGAAGGACCAGCATCCTTCTATGTCATCGCCACGACTTGCCTTATCTTCTTCGCAGCTGCCGCCTCGGCAGTAGCCTGAGGTTCGGCTGCAGCCTGAGCTTCCCTGTTGCCGAAAGATGGCCTCCTCATATCAGAGTCGAAAGAAGAATGTAATAAAGATGACACGTCAACTGGGTCAGCACGGGATAAAACTCTCTTAATACGACGCAAGTTAAAATCTCTACTTCAGCGCTGCAAGCAAGTCCTGAGTTGCGTAGAAGCTTGGAAGAATGTAAAGTCAGAGGTAGCGAGCTGCAAAACAAGAAAAGAGACGAATTCGGAAACATGCTCCGATAAATCACAAAATACATCAAGCAATAACTCTAAAAGTAAGCCACGATTCGACTACCAAGTAGTCCCCAATCTGTTTTCACTATGTCCTTACATTTCGAGTCAACCAAAGCCTCCGAAATCCAAACAAAGAAAAAATGATCTTCCGGAAACTCATCCTTGCTTGGAAAGCCGTAAATCACTCTCCATGTTGCTTTGTTCAAAACGTAATACTTTAACTCCTCTCTGGGACCACGCCGTCTAAATTCCAAAAGCCACTCCAAGTGATCGATCCCGATCTCGATTTCACTTTCCATAGCGCGAATCACTATCCCAACTAGGTGACGGACGCCTCGATTGTTTATCTGAGCAAGGGCGACGTTGTGCCTCCATAGGAATCGTAAAATCACTTCGGGGACTAGGAACCAGAAAAGACAACAGTAGAAGAAACTCACGTATAGAGTCGCGGAGGCCTATTGGCCCAGTCTGAGGAAAAAAGGACCATCAACTGAACGCTTTCCGTTATAGTAAAACCGTCTCCTAAATTTTTTCAAAGACTTAGCCGTTGAGAAGCTTGAGCCTAGTGGGTCGGCTCCCTTCAATTTCCAATTCCTCTTCCTTCTCGACGGGGCTCCCGCTGATAATGCGACAAGATATGTATACTCCCGCTGTGCATCGACATCGAAAAGGAAATCTACCGAATCAAGTTTCACGACAGTAGCACCCGTCACTTCGTCTTTAGGTTAATCGCGGAAAGAAAGCACCATAAATTTTTCACGGCTAGATTCATGGCTCTCCGGAGAAGAAAAACTCGATGAATGACTTTGGGATACGTTTCGGGTGGTTGACAATTCTCCGGATGACAACGGTTTGGGAGAAGGAGTTTTACCAACACAACACGGGTTTCACGCAAACCGAGGATGACTCGCATTTCCTCCAAAAATGGGTCTCACCGTAGCATGACAAGTCGCGATGGAGTTATGGTTTGGGGTTCTCTCCAGAACGGACCAGTCTAAAACAACGGTGTTCTCGTTTTCCACTACCAAACATATCGGGTCCAAATCTCAAGAAGCGGCTAGGGATTTTTGTTGTAGTTCAGGTTCTCTCTTAACAACAACGGATCGGGATGAGCAGAAAAGCGGTTCGGCTTTCCACCTTACTGATCGAGCTTGATACGCGGCACGATGAGCTCGTAGCTCGAGGATGCACAAGTCCACGGCTCGGGGCATGACGAGTCCACGACTCGGGATGGACGAACTCGCATCTCAGGGATGCACTACTCCGCGGTTGGGCCTTCCACCTTACAGATCGACCTTGATACGCGGCACGACGAACTCGCTGCTCGGGGATGCGCAAGTCCACGGCTCGAGGGAACGATGAGGTCGGGGACGCGCAAGTCCACAGCTCAGGGGCATGACAAGTCCACGACTCAGGATGCACAAACTCGCATCTCTAGGACGTTCCAATCCGCGGTTTGACATAACACCTCAGGAGCGTTCGGTCCAACAGCTTGGGAAGACGCACAGCTCGGGTCGGCGTCAAGTTTCCTACCAGAGAACGGAGTAAAACGACGGCTGCGGCACGAG